TATTACTTTAAGAACAGTTAATGAAATAAGGAAATAAAAAGCCAGGCAGAAGGCATTATGTTTTTCTAGAAGGAAGCTTGTACAAAATACCTCTATGGCTTTGTAACATAACCTCATGACTAATATATCAGTGTCATACTGAAATATTTCTGAAAAAGTTAACAAAATAGCAATTACATTGAAAATTATATTCACATCTTGTCAAAGTACTTCTTTAGCCTCATCTTCTGTCAAAAATAACTGCTACGAGAGACAACCAAATCATATAATACAACATTTTTAGTTTTATTTAACTGAAAGAGTATTTGAAACCCATATCCAGCATACTGAGGTAAAAATCTGGTCAGCCTTCCATGATGTTTAATGACGTACTGATATTACCCTTCGTCTGAATACAGTTTTATGTTAGTGTCAGTCACTAAAATCATGTGCATAAATAACAAAAGAGTAATTCTGAGACAGGCTTTTACTGAAGCTCTTTGATTCTCTCCTCAAAGCTAATAATGAATAACATAAGCATATTCCTGGTACCTCCTTTCCTCTTCATTCACAACCCAAATTGTATTGACTGTCGCTGCAACAGAGCATAAATTGTTCCTTAGAGCTGATGTGCCACGTGTTATGTTTTTCTGCAACAATGTAGTGGAAAGGATTCTCAGCATCCCAAAAAAAAAAAACTGAGTCACAAGTTAAGGTACAGTTCATTATCTGCAGTTATCACAGAGGAGTTTCACCTTTCTTGATGGAAGAACTTATTCTTAGGAAGACCTAATTCTTGTAATAATTAAACATCTGTCATGTGTCATTGATGCTTCCTAATCCTGACCGAGCCAGGAATAACCATAGCAAATATCGCAGTGCTCCATTTAAAAAGGATGGTATTTGACATTTTCTAAAATACTGTTAATTTCTACCTCATGGTACAATTTCCCAATTTTTGACAAATAAGATGAGTCTGGGGACAAGAAACTATCAGCTCAAGATAAACAACCAGCCAAGATTCAATTATTTCTTTTCAGGTCTTCCCTCTCCACAACAATCTCCCCCAAGGCAAGAGCTGTATCCTTGGTTTGCAAGGACAATTGCTATCAATGTAGCAAGAAATGTAATTATTTTTGAAAGTAGGATATATTAAGGTAGTAAAACAGGCTGAACCATATCCCACACTACCCAGCACTATATCTGCTGCTGCTGTTACCAGCAGCAAAAGCTGCTGATGAATGATAACAACACTGAGAGCAGAAGCATTGGTTATTCCATTCACCTGCTGCAATTTAAGAAGTTCCTCCAGGGTTTCCTTCACAACCTATTATTAACCAAATCAGGCACCAGAGAATTAGCCTGATTTTGTGAATAACATCTTCCACAAACAAGCTGCTATTCTCTCCAGGCCTAAGTGATGATAACACAGCAGGAACTTTCTGACAGCTTCTGCTATCAGGGCCTGCAACACACTACTGGAGAGCTACCATGGAGATACTGCAACCGTATTTGCCAAGCAACAGGCACTATAGATATCTCATGACTTCAGCACCAAAACAGGCTGAATTAGTAAACCAGAATGGGACTCATTAGACTCCTACAGGCTCTCTACAAAGTATCACAGAATGTGTGTCTTTTGGGCCTGAAGTTCAGGTTCAACCAATCTTACTCCTTTGTAGCCAAAGTTTTAAATTACTCTTAAGAAACTGATTAACTAACGAGCAGTCACCAATACCAGTACATCCTGAGGTGACAGCAACCATGAATTTTCTACTAGGCTATGAAACAAATTGTTGATTCTGGTTCAACCCCTAACAGAGAACACACACTACAGAAATGACTGTCTTAGCAAAAATACCAGAACAGCTGTGAAAACTGAACTTCCTTGTTATAAGCAGTAGAGAAGCAGATACCTCACTGGGGCATGGAAGAAGATGCTGATGTGACCTGAAGGGCAACCTGAGCTATTGCTGTGTCCACACAGAGTTTGCTCTTGGCATGGACTTCCACTCTTAAAATGCATTCTGTAGACATGTTAAACATAAGTGTTAATCTGAAAAGTGAAATCTGGAAAAGATTTAGTCTATGCTACAGCATCTGTGAATGAAATGATGTGGTGATCACCAGCTCCACTCGGAGCATGACTCTCATGCCTTGCCTGCAAGGCTTGCTAAAAGACTGTGAAAAACAGCGATAGCTGCACAGGTACTTGAACCCCCATCAACTCCATTACCTCCAAAACCCAGAGTTATCACAAAATAAGTAACCTTTCCTTTCAACTTAAAAAGCTAGGACCTGGCAAGCTGTATCCTCCCTGAGCAGCTGCGGTGAGGAGTTTCAAGTGCACTAAACAATGACCTAAGCATCAAAGTGGCCAGCCATTAGAATGCTGCTTAAAGATTAGCAGGGATGGTCTCACAAAGCTGCCTGCAAGACACCTACCTAACACCACAGCAGTGGCTGCACCATGCCCTGGCAGAGTGCTTCCTGAGAGCCAGTCAAGCACCACAGAGCACGCAATTCACCCAAAGAATGCACTGATGGACAGGCCTTTGGAGGAAGATATGGCAGCAAAGCAGAATGAGATTAATTAGGGCGACTGGTCCTATTAAGGTGAAGGACTTCAATCCAATAATTTTTTCCCAAGGAAAACACTGGAATCTTGAGTAAGGGAAATTCTAAGACTCATTCACTGATACACAAAATTACTCAGAGCAGCAAGAGGACTTACAGGCTATTCCCAGTGAAAGGGAGAGGACCAAGAGGGAAGAAAAGGGGGAAAAAAATCAGAAAGAAGAAAAGACATGTGAATGACTAAGTATATGAAACAAATTAATAATTTGCATCATAACTCTATCCTTCTGTTTTAGCAGAATACTGCTTGGTTCCTATGTAAGAATTAAGGCTCTGTCAAGTAGGTATAGAAACTGAAAAAAACGAACTTGGAAAGAAAAGTTGCATCACAAGCCCAGTCTCCTGTGTATTACAGACCACCAGATCTGCTTGATTAACATACACAAAAAGCTGAAGACCAAGACAAAAGCAAGCAAGACAAAGGCTTATGTAAGGGTTCAGGGTTGAAGAGCCATCTTAACCGCACTGGCTAAAACACCAGTGTGTCTCACAGCTGCATACCAACATGACATTAGCTGTGGCTGGAGTCCCATCATTCTCTTTGCCCAAAGACTGCTTTAATAAGAAAGATCTCATCTCACCACACTGTAGCTTTATCTGGGAGCTGGGATGGAATGGGGATCAGAACCTAACCATAAAACTTCGGAAATTCTTCAAGAAATTCTCAGCCTGGAGAAGAGAAGGCTGTGTGGAGACCTCATAGCAGCCTTCCAGTATCTGAAAGGGGCCTATAGGGATGCTGGGGATGGACTCTTCATTAGGGACTGCAGTGACAGGACAAGGGGTAATGGGTTAAAACTTAAACAGGGGAAGTTTAGACTGGATATAAGGAGGAAGTTATTTACTGTTAGGGTGGTGAGGCACTGGAATAGGTTGTCCAGGGAGGTTGTGAATGCTTCATCCCTGGCAGTGTTCAAGGCCAGGTTGGATGAGGCCTTGGGTAATATGGTTTAGAGCGAGGTGTCAGGGGTTGGAACTTGATGATATTAAGGTCCTTTCCAACCCTAACCGTTCTATGATTCTATGTGAAGTCCTTTGTAAAGAAGGAATTCTCTAGGGAAAGTTGTTACATGCAGCATGAAAGATCCTTTCTGAAATCTAGAATTTATGTCCTCTCTGTATTTGAATTAACCATCTGAACAGGAATCTTACAGGATAAGAGTCTGCATCTGTGCACCCCTGACATAAAGCAAGAACTTAAAGCATGTATAAGATGTTAGGGTGGTGAGGCACTGGAATAAGTTGCTCAGGGAGGTTGTGAATGCTCCATCACTGGCAGTGTTCAAGGCCTGGTTGGACGAGGCCTTGGGTAATATGGTTTACAGCGAGGTGTCCCTGCCCATGGCAGGGGGGTTGGAACTTGATGATCTTAAGGTCCTTTCCAACCCTAACTATTCTATGATTCTATGATTCTATTTGCCCAGTGGCTATACAGCTGGGATACATCTGAAAGCTCTGCCAGCTCACCTCCATCAATTAGGACTGTACAAAATAATACCCTTGTAAGGATCACATGAGCAAATACCCAGAAGAGTGCTGCTGTATTTCAAGAAGGCAGAACAGCAGTCCTGATAGGAAAACTTCCTGCATCTAGCTAACAGTGCAGTTTCCCCATGGGGCTCTGCCAGTACTACGGTTTGTACAGCATAGGCAAGCCTACAGACATGCTTAGTTCAAGTCTCCGAGTTAACAGTACTTTCTTCATGGACAGAAAATGCCAGACCTCTCACTATCACATTTCTGAAGATGAGAAGCCCTGTGGCTTGCCAGTTACTGTGAACCTTACTTGCCAGTTACTGTGTGACCTTACATGTCTGTAAGGTCAAATAAGAATGAAAGGAAAACCGTGGCACCAGAAGCTGCTGGGGAGTATGCCACCAGATAATCCATACACACAGGTGGTCTCAGCTGGTGGCACAAAGCAACCACTGCTGTAGGCCTCCCTCCCACTCTGACGCCCACAGAAAACCATGTGAATACATTGCAGGAGACTGCACTTCTGCTGCACAGAACATTGAAATTCAACACAGGTGTCTGAATTAACAGAGAGTATTATTGACACCACAGAGGAACAGCACTACTATGAAACACCCCTGTTGAGTACAGCCTTTTCTCATGTGAGGTGGCAGAGCAAGTTGCAGAAAAACTGCACGAATGGATGAACTAAGAACTGCTCTGGCTGGAGTACTAGAAGAGCTAGAGCATCTTTGTTAAGAAGCATCACAATAAACAGCGTAAATACTGCACAGAAATAGAGGTACCTTAGATGTGGTCCCTCTGCTGGGAGAAATCTGAGACTTCAGTGTGTCAGATGTGGAACAAGAGAAATGCAGAAAGAGCCCCACCAACCCAGAGGATCCCCACATATGGAGCAGGTTACTTACTCTCCCCAGCTCGTTGTTGGAAAGCCAGTACCAGAGCACCAAGTCCTGGAGTCCTGGGCACCAGCACCCCCACAGGTCACTGAAGAAATCAGGCAAGCTGCAAAACAAGAACAAATTGGGTATTAGTTTTTGTTTATGACAAGTCAAGGAGGGATTAATGAACACTACTGAGCTCTCAAAGGTACAGGTTACCAGAAGAAACCTACACAACTGCCCTCTGCAGCAGCAGGAGCCTGGGAACCAGACAAGCACAAGTGACTGAGTGACCCAAACAGTCACCTTTCAGTTTAAATCCTTAAAAACCATCTGCATTCAAAAACACCCATGCAGGGTAACTGGAACAGAGGATCTATATACTGCAGTGCGTGGATCTTCGCAAACAGGGCAAGTGTCACAAGCTGCTGCTGGACTACAACAGCTTGGGCATGCAAGAGACACTGCAAAGCGTGCTTTATATTCTCTCTCTCTGCACTGCATCACAGACCTGCAGTTTACCCATGCACAAGCAGTGACTGTTGTCTCAAGACAACAGAGATGGCCTCTAAGTTAGAAACAAAAAAAAAACAGCAAAAAGCCCTCACTCAACAGTATCCTCATAACCTGATTTAGAAAATAAAGTGAAAAGCCGTTTCAATTATGATTGTGTTCAGTAGACATCAAGTATACAATTATTTTTATAATGTCTGTATGCTGTATTACAGCCATTTCCCAACCCTTCCACCGCCTGGTAAATAATCACATTAACACTATGGGGTTTGATACCAAAAAAAAATACATTGTGATCATTGTCACACAGTGACAGAAGCGAGGTTATCTCCCCACCACTCCAACAGTGGCAGCAGATCTGTCAGTCAAATTATGTTCTGGGATTCAAGGTATTACTCAGCTTTATATTTGTTCTCCCATCTGGAGAAAATAGATATACAAGACTGACGATACAAATCTCATCTGCTGTAGAGCTTAAAGACATTATTTTTCCTTTGCTAAAGCAAAAGCCAGGCTCAATCAAGCCAAATTACATTCCATTTTAAAGAGAGTTTTTTTTTTCATGTCCTTGTTCTAACAGAAATCCAAGACCTATAAATCCTAGAAAGTACTGAGACAGAACAGATCATTTAAGAGAACTAAAAATGTTCTTGTTAAAAATTGTATTTGTCATTTGGAAACTTGAAATAGACCTTTTTATAAGCCAGATAAAAATAATTTTAAAATCTAAACCTTTTTGAAGAAATCAAGATATAATAGGTATAATATACTTGTTTTCATTTCACTAATGAAATAACACTTTTCAAACGGGCAGGAAGAAAACAGAGCAATGCTCATTAAACTAATCAGCAGGTACATTTGTGTATTTTTGTACCAGACAACCAGATTCCAGTGTCTGAGATAGAGGGGAAAAAAGAGAAAGAAAACACACATTGTGTTAACACCTTCATGCCAGTCAAGCCAAGAAACTAGCAATTTCTTTCTGCTTGAGATTCACAGGTTTTGCACAAACAAAACCTTCCAAGTTAAGTGTTGACACCCCAAAGTTCTCTCCAGCCTGGGCATACATCCTGGCTTCTTCCAAATCATTTTAAGGGGGTTCCTCTCAAGATAAACAGATACGTTCTTTCTATAATTAGTCCTCTTCATCCTATATATGAAATCCAATTTGCTTAAAACCAAGCCCAGCATAACCACAACACAAACAGTAGTTAATTCAATTAAAAAAAATATATAGGCAAGTAGCTCAAAAATCATTTTATGCCTGAAACAAGACAATTTTTTGATCCAAACTAAGATGGGGTCAGCTGCCAGTTCTGAGATCAAAGGAAAGCCTGAAATTCAAACCACAGGTCTCAAAGGTAGGAATGACCAAGCTCTCCAGCAAAGCAGCACATTGCAAAACCAAGTTTCAACAAAAGACATCTGACCTCTCACCAAAGGGATATTACCACTGATGACACACCCAACATTTTCTATTTCCCAGTTCAGAATCTGCCCTCTACCACAAGTGTCCTGCTGAACACATTCACCTCTCCACCCACATTTTTACCATGTTGCCTGCCTTGAAAACTGGCAGACTTGAAAACATCGTGAGGATAGACAAGAATTTTTTTCTTCCTGTTTATGAATCTCAGTATTTCAAAGAAAAGATCAGCCAGCCAACAGTGCAGCAAGCTCAGCCTCCCAGAGCTATCCAAGCTAGAATAATTCATCTAGGCCTTTACTAAAAGCAGTAAATTGGAAGGCAGATAGCATGCAGACACTGGCACTCTTCTTAGCAAATGAATTAGCAAATGTTTAACGCCCACAGATGACAAAGAAGGAACATACTGTTACAATTAATGAAATAAACAACTGGCCGGTTGAGGTAATACTAGGTGCAAGTTTCAAAAATTAAATAGTCCCTATTTCCTTCTTTTGCAAAGATGGGGCAATAGCTACATATACTTCAAGTGGGATTAGATATTGCTGGGTACTTGAATTTTCATGGGACACAAACCTGAGATCCAGGCCTCACGCAGCCTCAGAAAGAAGTGATCACACAACCTGATCTTGGGCACATCACAGAATTTCAGTTAGAACTCACAAAGCCAAAACTCAGAAAGCACTGGCCAGCAAGGAGAAAAACTGGGAGTTACCACTCCTGTTGAGATGCTGGAACAAAACTTACTTCTGTAGATCTTTCAAAACAGAGACAGACATCTACCTGACAGAGACTCCCCACAGATTTGTAATGTCAAAACTCAGACCAAAGTTACTTTCTCGAGGTTTAGCAGGAATTCACCAAGATAGGAATCACTGCAGCTTTTTTCCTCCTGCTCCACTGCAGCCTGCACTTGAGCCTGGTGGCTTCCTGACAAGAACTAAGAAGGCTGGCAGCTTTGACTGCTCTCCTTTCCAACTTTTGGGCTTTTGGTAAGGAACTGTAAGGTTTAGTTTAAATATAAAAGAGGCAGGTTTCCAACTGCACAGTTTCAACTGCAGTCATTCAGTACCAAAATATGTTTTGTAATTCTGTAACCGTCTTTTCCTGAAGCACACGCTACATAAATGGCATGCTCCTCAGAAATGGCATTATGGTTTTGTTCTCACCTTCAAATCAGAAAAAAATCCTGCACCAGCAAGGTTCTCAGATGTTTCTGTTGACATGAACTGAGCTAGTCTCAATCTAAATCCACTTAATCTAAAAACTAACACCAAAACAACAAAACAGTCACCAACCCTTCCCTGTTACCTGCTGGGCAACTGCTTCTTGACAACCCCAGCAGAGAGCAGCCAGCCTGAGCTTGGAAGTGCCATGTCTCTCCAAGGAGACCAAGAGAGTCTTTCGCTTTTTCAACTCAAAAGCTTCTTTTATAGGAAAATAAACCCACCTATTTGCATTAGGGAATACAATTTTTTTAGGATAATATCACTCGAGCACTACTCCTGTATCCTTTATAGTAATGGCACTGTATTGCTAACAGCCTGCAAACCGGCCTGTGCTGGACAGGGTAAAAGGGTGTAAAATCAGTAACATGCAAGGCAGCAGTGATACAGTAGCTCTGGGAAAATTAACTAAAGATTTCCCAATTCCTGGGCTTTTAGAATGGAAGCACAGTTATGAAATAACATGAGACTGAGGATATTGTGTCTATATAGAGATGAATGAACTGTTTTCAGTACAAATGGCTGCATTTATGTTACCAGACTGGTTACTTGGCCTTAAACTGTCTTTAAATAGGAATCACAGGATCCTACCTACCCCTTAATTAAAATTTCCACCTCTTTCTCCCATTTAGAAATAGAAGTAGTCCATCATAACATCAATAATTAGTAAGTACATCATGGGCATCTATTCTGGGGACAACTTTCCTTCCTTCTAGAAACCACATTCCAGTTTCTAACTCCAGTCTATCAGACAGGACTGACTCCCAGTGAGCCTCATGCAACTGCCCAAGAACCGAGGCTGCTGGGGTTTGTTTCAAACAGGAGGAGACTAGGAAGAGCTGAGGTTTGCTCTGAGGTTTCTGGGGTACTTAATCTGGAAATAGTTTAAAAAAGACCCCACAAGCCCACAACAAAACAAACAAACAAAAAAAGCCAAACAAACAAACACAAACAAAGCAAATAACATACTGTTCATCTTACAAAAGATTAACAAATCTTGACAGACAACTTGACAGACATGGAGAACTCATAATATGATGTGTAAAAGAGTCATTAAAGATGGGGTGAAGGAGAAGGCTGATGTCACCACCTCCAAAATTCTGACATTTTTGAGCATCTACCTTTCCTTGCCTGCATCTTACTTTCCTTGATAGCAGTTTTTGCCAAATCCAGAGAAGGAAACATCTTGCACATTAATTCACTTACTGCCCTAGAGGGCCAGAAGGAAAACAGCATCACTTAGATGGTGTTTTACCTTCACAAATCTTCAAAGGTCAGAAAGCATTTCTTTCACAGTTAGTGGCTAAAACACTGAAACACACATGGCACTGTTTTATTTATGAACTCTGAGAAGCCCAACAAAACTGAAGAGATTTGGTTATCCATTATTTGCAGGAGAGGTCTCATTCTTCTCCTTTCAGGTTAAAAAGCATATTCTGGACACCTTTCTGAAAAGCACAGAAGATGGGTCAGGTCCTCCTGGTCCAACAGGGAACATGAACATGGATCTCCTCCCTCCCCTCAACATGTGCTGACCATGGGGTTACTACAGAAGAGATTGCAAGGAGGGAAAGCCACAATATTTCTGAATGATTCTGAATTCTGTCCCCTTCATTTTAATGATTCTTTTTTATTTAAAATGTCCAAAGTGGTTATTAGAAGATGGTTTTCGTTTCTCTTTGAAAAGTTTTACACAGAAGGTGCAGCTGGAGCAGGGGTGAAGCAGAAGACATCAAAACCTTCCCTTTCATGCCAGTCTGGACCAAACACGTATTTTCATTTCAGCAAATCCTCCCCACCATCACCTCCAAATCATTTATACAGACCTTCACATAACCAGTGACTGATCCCAAAAATTAAGGTGTTACTTTGGTGCTCTGGCTGCACAACTTGCTGCTTTTCCCAAGTCTTACTGCTTGCTGACCTATGCTGCACAAACATCAAAGCAGAAGGAAGCAAAGCACTGG